GAGAGGAAAGCCCCCCCGTGCCGGCCGAGGTCGTGCCGTTCATTTCAGCACCTCCTTCCCCCGATCCCGCCGCCTTTATTTCTTTGCGGGCTTCAGCGAGGCGCGATGTGCTGCCCTCGGTCTCTGCATCGCGCGGGTTTCGGGAGCGCGGATCCTCGCCGGCCAGCTCCCCTGAACTGTCTCTGCTGCGGGGAGTCTTGGGACTGGCTCCACCAACTTCTTAAAACAGCATGGGGGAGGAGGTGGAAAGGCGAGGGAAAACAACTGGCGTAAGCCCAACGGAGTAACTTGGCGAGGGGGGAGCCCTCTTTTCTATCGAGTCCCCAGGAGCCCTTCCCATCTTGCTATGGAAGTGAGACTGCATGAAGCGGAGCTTAGCTCCCGATTCAAAATAGAACAATAAATAAACTCTACTTAGTGCCTGTTGCTGGAGTGTTTACAAAGTACTGTTGCTACAAACAAGGCTGTGCTTAATTCCAGGTGACCATGGCAGACAGAGCTGCAGCTGAAAGAGCATGCAAAGACCCAAACCCCATCATTGATGGCAGGAAAGCAAATGTGAACCTGGCATATTTGGGAGCAAAACCAAGGAGTATTCAAACTGGTGAGGCATCCAGTAGATCCCGTCTCTCTCTATTAGAATAACTTGTAAGACAAGGAAAGAAGTTACTCGGGCTGGATTCATCTGAGCTGATGATGTGTTTTTACCCCTCATAGTTCTGATTGTTGACTGAGGACGCTGTAGTCCAGTTACCTCTCTTCTGTATCTTCTTACTCATACCTGTTACACTAGTGTTATGCACCTAAGCTCATATAACTGAGTTAAAGCTGTTTTCTTCCATGGCTAATCTGTTTTCCTGTTACCCTCTTCCTTACGTCAGTATTAACAGTAAGATCCATTTCATCATTCTGCCCTTTTTAATGACCGCAGTACCCAGTGTGTAAAATAAGGCATTATACCCCATTGTCTGCTCAGTAACAGCACTTTCATACTGTTCTTTAATCTGAATTCCCATCTGGTCCTCATGCATATCACATACGCATATTAAAATTAACTTGCTTCTAAATGGGGCTCTGAATTTGCTCACATGCATAGCAGATGAAATGCATGTACGAGTGGCCTGAGGTGTAATTATGCATGTGTATTACGAGTTGAATGTTACAATGGATGCCATTCATTGATATTTCTTTTTTCTGAATGCTTTTTTAGGTTTTACCATAGGTGTGCAGCAGCTACATCCAGCCTTCATTCAGAGACCCTTTGGGTAAGTGGAAACGTCTCTTAACAGTCAGTCTGAAATCAAACTCATGAATCAACTTCCTCATTATTTAAAATGCGTGAAAAAAGCCTTAGCCGTCAGGAGTGGACAGTTTCAACAGCTGTTCTTAATGTTCGGAGTACTTTATTCCTGGTGAAGATTTCAGAAGTTTTGTGCATGTCAGCTTTAATGTAATTCCCAAAGATCCTCCTTTATCCTCAGTAAATCTTAGTCATAATAAACCCAATGCATTGCTTGCTGCTTTGCCAACTTCAAGAATTCACAAGAATTCAAATAAATGGAAAATAGTTTGTCTATTATAGTACTTAAGGTGTCAAAACGATTAAGCAAATTCTGTTCTCATGTTTCTCAAGTAAGATCTTCTGCTTCCTCTGTGCTGTTTCCCACGTAATAATGCTTAGGATACAGTTTTATCCTAGAAAACAAATTGCATTGGAAACAAAGTCTGTTACTTAATGAAAGTAACATTAGGTCAAAAATTGATTTTGGACAGATGTTATACAAGGCTTGAATAGTCTGCAAAAGTGGGCTTTTGTCTGCTGTTTTCAATAGCTTATACCATCCCTGCTCGGTTAGAAAAGTCCTCTTTTTATACATCTAATAGGATCTGGCAGCTGCTCGGCAAAAGACAAGTGTGCTTCATGAGAACAATAGTGACTGTCATACTGCCTTCATTTAACTGTTTAATGATTGATGCAGTTCTTTTTTTACACCATTTCAGAAAGTGAATATTGATAGGGTTTTTTTATTATTATTTTCTAAGAGCATTAAGAAAGTAGGTGCATTTTTTAAAGCTTTTGAGCACTGCTCTGTTGTGGGTTTTGTGTGACTCTAATATAAATAGATGGGATTTTGGCCTTTGTCAACAGAAATACTTCACCCCTTTCCCGCTCTCCACTCATGGTTTTTTGGGGTGCTTTTTTTTGTTGTTTTTTTTTTTTTAAGAAAAAAAATCTGCAACAACAAAACAGAAACTTTCACTCCTGTGCCCTCATGGTTGCAGTTGCCAGCTGCCTGGGTAATCTCATTCCAATGAGTTTATGGATATAAGAGACTGTGTTGCCACAATAGTGCACACCCAGTGTACCTGTGTTGTGTATGGCTCAAACATGCCAGTTTTCATAAGTGGTTACGGCTCTGTTGGAAGGACTCGAAGAACATCTGTCATGAAATGAAGAGTCTCTCTTTTTTTGCTGCAAGAGCCACAGTAGTCTCTGTAGACAAGATGCTGCTTTTTAATAGCTCTCCTTGCACGGGAGCTGCAATAGCTGCCCCCAAAGCAGGCAGCAGTGGTACCTTGGAGATGTGAACCCCAGAGGCTTTCCAAATTGCACAGGGGTGCACAAGAGCAGTTGATGATAAAACCAGCCTGTTAGGAGTTTTTTCCACACATGCTAACAGAAAAGAACAAAAGGGTGAAGCACGTTAAACTCCTCGTGTTGGCAGGAGTGCTGGCACACGCCTGTTCCTCTTGCAGATAATCTGCTGTTCCTGCGGGTGCCGTTCCTACCCAGCAGCCACAGCCCTGCAGCTCTGGAAAACGTAGTTTTTCTTTTTGAACAGTTTGCTTTTAGTTTTGCATACAGAGGAGCGTAGGATCAACTGACTTACGTGTTCCTTGTGATCTAGACCGTTACTGTTCCAGTTCTTAGGCATTGGTTTCATCATTAAACCAGCAGAGCTGCAGTTAGCACATACAGCAGAGAGCACTATAAATTATTTATCAGTTGCCAAGAGACAGGAACCAGGAGACTGGAGGGCTGGAGGAAGGGCATTATATATCATTATTTGCAAACATCAGTAAACAAGAATTTCATTGCATTCAGTCATTGCTGGAGCAGAATCACTGAAAACGTGGGTTTAGCAAAATGTGGAGCCTGAGCACCACGACTGGGCCTGCTCTGTGGCTTCTGAGCAAAGCATCAGGTGCTTAGTCAAGCAACAGAGTTTGGCTGCCGGTTCCCTCTTTGTCTCGTCAGTAGACCAACAAAATTAAGAGCCTGACAGGCTCCACTCTTGCATTCCCTTGAACCCACAATTTCCTTGGCCCTCTGTGGGATTTGAGGATAGATAGGAGCTTATCAGGGTCTGTCTGTCTTTGGAAGCTTCATCAAATTGCTGCTGTCCATTTGCTCTGCACAGTGTGGAGTGGATCCTGACCTTCCCCAAATGAAGCTCAGTGGCTCGTCTGCTTTGCCCACAGTGTAAGACGTTGCCCGGTTCTCCCTCCTGCAGTTCCTGTCTCTGCAAAGTGTTTGTGCCCAGGGGTTAACATGTGGTTTCCAACAGACAATTGTTATGGGACGTGGGGTACTAGGTGTGCAAGCTAGACTTGGCAAGGAAGAAATGAATGAACAACCCATTAACTGCTAGGCAGTTAAGTAAGAGAAAGCCAGCCAGTCGTGTTCCAGCTATCAAGCCACAAAATGCAGGTTTTGGTGAAACCTGAAATGAATGGAAACTATGAAAATTACCCAAACATCACTGAGGATTATTTATAAACTCAAGGCTTCCCCCCCCAGCCCCAGGCACCCAAATGCAGCTGTAAATATTGCCTGGGGTATGCGGAACAGAAAGAGAAACCACGAGGAGCCTCTCTCCTTCCTCCTGCCGTCCTGGCAGGGGAGGCACTCGCACAGCAGACAGCACGGAGTCGGTAGTAAATCCTGTTTTGAAAAGTAGTCTCTAGATTGTCGTAACCAGAGATCTTAACAGTAATGCGAGGCAAAGGATGCGTCTGTGTCAGGGTGACTCGGAGATCTGGCTTCCGAGTTTAGGGAAGCAGCATTAGGCCTGGGGGCTTAGCCCGGAGCTTAAAGACTGTGCTTTGCTGGAGGCAGCTGGCAATGCCACAGCATGTCCCTGCAGCTACCAGCCAGCACAGAGCTGCACGTATGCGATCAGAGAAGGGGAAGACCCTCTCTCTCCAAATGGACCTGTCTCCTACTGCAGCAGTGTCCCTTTTAAGAAATTTTGAGAAACATGAAACTTCTTGGAAGCTGCTAGGAGCAACTGTATAGACCACTTGACCAGGAGTACATGGTGACGTGGCAGAGCTGCTTGGTGCCCCTCTTTTGGTCCTCTCCTCTGGGACTCCAGTGCTCGAGACAGGCTTGAGCCTGTGCAGGGAACGGGGATTCCCTGGTTCTCTTCTTTGCAGCCGTGCTTGCTGCTCTGGATGCGAGCAGCATATGGCAGATGCATTCCTGTGGCTGTGCCTCAGCGAAGGAGCTATCTGTGTGGGAGATCTACCAGTGACTGAGCTCTTGGAAACATACAGCTGTCTCTTGCAGCAGGATCCAGCTCTTTCCATATCTGCACATTGGATGTTGTTGCTCCAGAGATCCCGTTGCCCATCCTTGTGTAGTTGCTTATTTCGGTGGCTCCCTGACTCTGGCCCACATTGGTCTCAGACAGCATCAGGAAGAGTTAAATCTCTTTGAGTTTGAAATTTCATGCATTGATGCTGCTGCAGTTAGGAAGTGAAGAAAGTCCCTCTTTGTGTCAGCCTACCCTCCCTTGCAGCTGTTTATCCTTAAAACCTCTCTATTGGGTTAAAAATAAAAGGAAACAAACTTTCATCTTTTCTGTGGTTATGCTTATAAAACAGCGCACGCTGGCCTTGCTCTGCTCAGCCTCTGTCAGCTGGCATCCCCCGTGCTCCGACTTCCTATTGCACCACTTACCAAAAAGCTGGCCCGCTGCAGGACCCCAGCCTGCTCTGCCGGTCACAAGCGGCTCCCATGGGGATGGCGCACCCGGCACCTGTCGTTTATCGTGTGCCAATAACATGAAAGCTTTTCGGGGGGGATTTCCTAAGAAACATTCAAATCCATTTTCCAAATGGCTTCAGCTGCTAGTTCTCGGACATAGTTACTGCTATTCAGACCAAATGCTTGCTAGTCAGAAAGAGCTCCTTTCCTCCCCCTCCTCCTTTTTTTAAGAGTAGATATATATTTATAAGCAAATCAGATGGCTTTGCGAATTTTCTTAGACATCTACTTTAAGGTGGCAAATGCTGGTATCAGACCCAAGGGCTTGGTATATAATTTGTTTTGGTTTTGGGCACAATTTGCTCATGTCCTGCATCTAGTATAGGCCTGTAGAACAATACAAAGGGAGAGCATGGTCTGATATAGTGTCCTCACACTTGGCCACATAAATGTTGTGCTAAGCTCAAGGCAGTCCTAGGCCTTTTGCAGGGGACAGGCTCCTGGTGAAGGATGCCATGTGCCATTCCAGTGCAGTCAGGACACAGGCCTGCGTGTGATGGGGAGCCAGGCTGAGCTGGCTCTAGCTTTGTCTTTACAGCATATGACTCGAGTTGTGCCGTCTTCTCTGTGTGATTCTGTTGCCTTCGGTGGATTTGCTCTTCATCCTCACCAGCGCAACAGCAGCTGCCTTAGCAGTAGAGACCCAAGTCCTTTCGCCTTGTCGCAGGAGCTGGGGAGCGGCAGATGCAAAATTCTCCTATTCTGATCTGGCTGGTGCCACTTAGTCCCAATGCGGCAGATTCATGCACGTGTCTGAATTTTCAGAGCAGTCCAGCTTGTACTTGATCTCATCTTTCCTTTGCGCAGCTGTTGGCATACTGGTCCCTAACTCTGTAGTATTAAACACATGCCCAGTAATTCGAATGATAAATGCAGCTCTGACTGGCCTGCCTCTGAGCTGAGGACACCGGCGAGGGAACCAGACAGTTGTTGTGCTGATAATTTGGTGGCAAGGACACTGGGTCACTTCTAAATATGACTTCTATGAAGAACTTGTTCCCCACAGATGGGAGCAAGCTACATACCAGAGCTAAATATACTCTATGATCACAAAAGATGAAAAGTCGTGGGCCTCAGAGTTAAAACTGAGTCTCCTATTTCTTGGTCTCTAAATCCTGTAAACAGGATCGTGCTGTCCCCTGCAATTTCCCTGTCGCCAGCTTTGAGCATTTCAGCTCTCCTGTGTCGTGGCTGAGCTGCTGCTGGCTCTGC